GCCCGCGGCCATGGGCTCCCTCGGGCCCCCTGCGCGCGCCCGCCATATCTGCAGCAGCTCCGCCCGCGGCGCAGCTCCTGCCCTCGGCTCGGATTGGATCAGGGCCGCAATCCCATGGAGGATCTGTCGGATGGCGTCGAGGGGGGCGGGGATCTTTCAGTGCATGGCGCGGGAGCCCAGTCACTGGTCTCGATCGACCCCCCCTCAGATCCAAATCTGGCGCAGACCCCCCGCAGACAGCAGGCCTCTCCCGCAGTCGGGGCAGATCAGGGGGTGGCACCAACGGCGATCACGACGGCTCGCTGCCCAGCGGAAGACGGCGGCAGTGCAGATGGAGATGGAGCGAGACAGCAGTCCCCCAGCGATGCCCACGACCCGCCCCAGCAGAGGCCGGCTGAGGCAGGTGAGACTGGCGGACCAGACGTGAACGAAAGGGGCACGGGGACGGACGCTTAGGGGCGGGAGGGTCCTGTCCAGACCCTCCCCAGACCCATTCCGGACCCCATCTCGATTCCCGTCCCGCCCACGCCTCCCTCCTCCCCCCGCCTAGGGGTCGCGCAGGAGCCCGTGCCACCAGCAGCAGGTGCCATCCAACTCCCTGAGGCTGATGACGGCGTCCCAGGGGGGCGTCGAGAGGCGGTAGTGGATGGGGGCCTTAGAGATGGCCATGAGGAGGTTCATCAGCTCACAGACGTGGATACTTAGCGCTGTCCACCCCCCCCGGTGCAAGTAGTCGGCGGAAATTGCGCAACCGTATTGATGTCTGATCCTTTTCTGAACTCCTGAAGTTCGTGCCTTGCTCACAGGGCGTCTAAACTCCCGCGCTTCCGAGCACAAGCGAGGGGGCGCTAGAGCCGAGACGATAGCAGGCAAACCGCATACGTAAAACCACAAATGCAATCACAAACTGAAGCTATACAACACCATGGAATATGGAACAAATATGAAACATCTGCTACCCTGCTGGACTCACTCACTCATGCTCAGGCTTGCTCAACCTCGGAATTGCACGGATAAGGGCCCTCCAAGCTGAGCATCCTTGAGTCCGCCTCCTCGTCTGAACTGCACTCGGTCATGGTCTCATATGGCGGGAAGTCCGGGCACGCAGCTGCACTGATGTGAGCCATTGTCCCGCCTGGCGTCTTGAGAATGCCCGCTCCTACGTGCTCGAACGGCTGGATTCCAGCTGCCTTCCTCCTCCGTGCACTCTGGTACTTCTCGTCGTAGACCAGCTTCCAGCGGTGCCCGTTGTTGAAATACATCCGCAGCTGGGCTGGCTCGTGTCCCTTCGTCAGCGAGTTGGCGAGCTGGGCATCCCCATGCACCAGAGCACCCAGTTGTTCGCAGCCTGCGTCCCCTCCTTCAGGGTCATGGCCTCCGCGTCGGTTCGCTTCTCCTTGCCCCGGAAGGTGTAGAATGTCGTCTGCAGCTTGTCGTATAGGCCCTTTGAATCCACAACCACTGCTCCTTGCAGTCTGCGCAGAATCCCCTCGGGGTTCCTCCAGTCGATGTTGTTGCCCAGGATCTCTAGCCACTGCAGCTTGATGCCAAACAGCTCGTCCTCAGCATCCACGGCGGAGCGTGTCTCACATGCCGCGGAACTGCGGCAACCACGATCGATCCTCCCGGACTTCCAGGATATGAGGCTCACGTCCGCCTCGTCGCCCTTGAGGATCTTCAGAGGTGCCAGCCCTGCCACCAGGCCCTTCGTTGACTTTCCGTCGGGACGGTTGGCCTCGGAGGAGTCGGACCACTCCGCTGGCACCAGCACCTGCGCCTGAGAGTGGCTGTGTATCACCGCAGGTAGATCAGCACACTCACGAACACGATCGACCAAGCGGTTGGTCTCGTTGATAGTCTGCACGGTGGACGAGGGTATGGTGCTGAGCAGGAGGCTCGTGTCGGCCGAGTGCATAGGGCCTGACTGCTCGGACCTCCACCCGATGGCTCTTAAGATAGCCCTCAGCTGGCCTTTCTCTTTGTCGGTGGTCGGCATGTCCTTGGCATTCTTGCGCTCCGGGGTGAGGTATGCCTTCTCGATGGTCTTTACATGCTCGCTCTGGTCCATGCGGAAGCTCCTGTCGGGCTGCTGCTTGATCCGCAACCCCCGTTTGCATGAACTCCTCCGACTCCAGGGCTTTCCACTTGAAGCGCTTCTCGATCTGTTCCCGGGCAGTGATCCACCTGGGGTCAGCGTCGTTGCCACCGAGCAGGAAGTCGTCCACGTGCGACCCCGCAATGGCTATGATGTCCATGTCCCCCTTCGCCGCGATCAGGTCCCCGAGCGCCTCTGGGTTCGTGAAGCCCTTCAGCGCCTCCTTGATGAAGCCGTTATCCTTGCCGTGAGCGTCACCGTAGAGCACCCACACGCAGGGGTCCATCTTCATCTGGGTCCAACCGAACTCTTCCAGTGCCTCGCTCACGGTCATGAACCACTCGATCGCTGCTTCCACGAGCCCGTAGACCGCCTTCCTGAGCCGCATCGCAACGCCCTCGGGCATCCCCAGCGCCGCCGCGAGCTCCTTCACAGGCATCACGAACAGGTCATGCTGGATCTCTCTGTTCTGCGTGAAAGCCCACGTCACGTCCGCTTTGTAGCCCTTGAAGCCCAACCACGCCATCGTCTGCAGCACCAGGTGCCTCGAAGTTCTCGTCATGGTTGGAGCGGTGGTCGGACGGTGCTCGTACTCGGGGTCCATGTAACCCAGGACCACAATCCTCGCCTTCGGCTTCTTCTCGCCCGTGTTCTCGTCCATCTTCCACTCGAGGATCCATCTCATGCGCGTGATGTCCTCGGGAGGCGGGGTCACTCCTGGTGGGAACGTCTCCAGCACCGAAGACACGATATAGTTGTTCACATCCGTGGCCTTTGCTTGGCCAAACTTCACCACCTCGTCCGGGGTCAACGTCCTCTCCGAGATCTCGCGCTTGCCCTTTCGCAGCTGGCTCGCCATGTAGGTACTCATGTGCCTCGTGGCCTGCTTGAGCGGCTTGCCCTCCAGGGGAACCTCAACGGAGACCTCCAGTGACGTGCCTTGACGAGCCCAAAAGGCTCTGGCGTCTGGAGTGGACTTCGCCATGAGGGCCACGTTCTCCTTCATCTGCTCCTCTGCCAGGGCTGCTCGAGACGCTCGGACTCGGTCGGCGGCCCCTCCTGGGTGGTGTCCTTTCTTGAGTATTTTCTTCCGCACTGGTGGTGTTGAACGGCTCCTTGAGGCCTGGCTTTCTTCTGTGGCTTGTTCTGTGCGGGCCTTCTTCAATGGAGGGGCTGGTTCAGGTAGTCCCTCCAAGGTCGAGATCTCCATGTCGTCCTCGGTGGAGTCGTGGCCAGTGAAGTCCAGGTATTCGTGCTTCATCGTCTGGTTCATGAAGGTGTGGACTGTCCAGGGCGTGTCTTTGCCTCCCATCAGCTCTGCGTAGGCGATCTCCCGTGAGGAGGCTGCCCGGATCTGGCAGAGGTCCACCTTGATGATGCGCCCGGCTCGCACCAGCCACACCACGGATCCTGCACGCCCAGGGTGTAGGGCCCGTCCTTCGCTGAGGTCCCCGTCCACCGGCCGCGCCGTCTCTGTGGCCAGGACCCTCGCGAGCCCCTTGAATCGGCCCTTAGCTTCACCTTTCTCCTTCCGGAAGTAGCGCACCCACATGCCTGGCACCACGGACTTCACCGCCTGATTCTTCGCGTTCTTTGCCCTGCTGATGCGTCGCATGTAGACTTGCCTCAGGTACTCCTGCTCGGCCGCATACATTCTCGTGTAGTTCTCCCCGAACTCCTTGTCGACCCTCTGGGCTTCCACGTACGGTAGGTTCGCGTCGTGTCGACCGGCGGCGACCCCAGCGCGGGCGTTCAAGGTTGAACGCCGCCGGCGACCCAGAATCGGTCGATGTTGAACGATTGGACGTTGCGGAGACGGCCGATCGTTCAAGGTTGAACGATCCCTGCGGTGTCAGAAACCAACGCCGGGGTCGACACGACACGGACCTAACGTAGGGCAGTTCGTCGAAGTCGCTCTCAAAGAAGTGTCCGTCCAGGTCTGGTGCTGCACGGGGAGCAGCACGCCGACGAGCTCCCAACGTCGGCGTGCCATTGCTAGTACGTTTCCTTCCCGGGGAGAGCGAGAAGGAGGAGGAGAAGGAGGAGGAGGAGGAGGAGGAGGAGGAGGAGGAGGGGGAGGAGGAGGAGGAGGAGGAGGAGGAGGAGGAGGAGGAGGAGGAGGGGGAGGAGGGGGAGGAGGAGGAGGAGGAGGAGGAGGAGGAGGAGGAGGAAGAGGAGAACGACGATGATATTAGGTCGCGTCAGCGCAAAAAGTCGTCAAGCCGACGTTCACCGAGGGCGAGAGATGGACTAGATGCATCTGAGCCTATCATCCGCCAGTCAGATGTATACTTTCCCTGGTCACTCCGGGAAGGCACGGGTGTGTGAGTAGGGAGAGAATGTTACTCTTCGTAGGGCGTTCTTAAATCTAAGCGCTTCGCGCAACCCCACCAGCCCAGCCAGAAGCGATGTACAGACGAGTTGCCCTGATCAGGGATGTAAAGGAGCACGCAGTACAATAAAGCGCTGGGTAAGACGTCGTACCCGAAGAGGGGGAGGATGGAGGAGGAACCAGGCGAGGAGCAGGAGGAGGAGAAGGAGGAGGAGGTGGAGGTGGAGGAGGAGGAGGAGGAGTGAGCAGGGGAGGGAGAGGAGGGAGGAGGAAGGAACAGGAATATGCGGATGAGGAAGGGGAGGAGGAAGGGAAGGAGGAGGAGGAGAAAGAGGAGGAGGAGGAGGAGGAGAAGGAGGAGGAGGAGGAGGAAGGCGAGCAAAACGGCCAGATGCCTCTCGGAGTCTCTTCGGACGTCTTTCGAGAGTTTCTTGGAGCCTTCCTGTGAGGTGTCTTGGGGGTCTCTTTGCAGTCCTGGGGGCGTCTTGAGTACGTCTGGAGGCCTCTTTGGGCCTCTTTGGGTCTCTTGGGCACACCTTGGGGGCCTCTTGGGGCCTCCTGAGCACCCCTTGGGGCCGTCTTGGGGCACCCTTGGGAGCCTCGGGGGCCATCTTGGGGCCTTCTTGGAAGAGATCGATCGAAGTAGGGGCCGTAGTACTTTAGGGCGCCCCCTAGGAGGCCCAATGTGTGCAAAAACCTTTTGTAACATCAATGATGTTGGCCTCCTCGCCGAGGCCATCCTGGACGCTCCAACTCGTCGCGAATCGCCCCGACCAGGAGGTCCAATGGGAGGGGGTATGGGGGAGGGTCAAGACACCCTCCTAGATAGCAATTCGTCGAGCTCAGTCACACCCGCCCTCCCAACACTCACAGTGACACCCGAGCCTCAGCATGTTCGGCGGTCATCTTTGGATGTGCAACTCTTGGGAACCAACACCGACCCCATGTGCGCCACGCTGGGGCGAGGTGCGCCACGCGTGCCAGGCGCGCCACGCGCGCCAGGCACCATTGGGGCCCAAGCGTGCCTGGCACGCCTGGTGCTCCAGATGCGCTACGTGCGCCAGGTGTGCCGCATAGTCCAGCCGGGCCAGATGCGCCACGTTCGCGGCACATGCAGAACGTGACAGCACACATCGGGAAACATGTCGGCCCCCACCATCCTTGTCGAAGGCCAATGCCCATCATTGTGTCTGGTGGGCCTGCTCACGGCAGGTCATACGCCACCACCCCCGCCGTCCCTGTCAACACAGTGATCGCTGGTGGCCGCGCATGATCTAGATTTAGCCGGGAGGTGCATGTGGTATTTTTTGAGAGGGATGGTAGCCCTGCGCACAGCAGGCAATATGCTGACACCCCCGCCGTCCCTGTCATAAACATTACAAAGAGCTCGCGGGCCTCACGAACATGACTCAAGACTTTGCCCAAAGTGTACTTTGCTTTGTTTTTGACAGGGATGATAGGGGGGGCGCATCGGGTTGGTTGCGCACATGCTCCGAATTTGGAGGCAGAGTGTTTTTGACTGCCGGTCGCCTGGGGGAGGAGGGTGTATATTAATAGGGAGCAGTGATAAACCCCTCCCCGAAGGTGACGACGGGAGGTTGGAAGAGGGATCTCTTAAACCACTCACGCCCTAAGGGCTGGTGGGATCATGTCATGCAGACCTGCGAGGGGAAGGGGGTCCAGAAACAAACACGGCATAAGCATACTTTTTCAGTCCGCGCGGATTTCTCGGAATGGCGCTGGGCACCCCTGCTGCTTCGCCTAAGACTTCTCCAGATTATTTCGGAATCGTGTTCTCGCCTCAATGCCGGCTACTTCTTTGGTCCGGACTGCCGTGGTCCTTGGTAAACAGTGTATGCTACAGTGCACACGGCCGTGCTCTCACCCCTGGCCTCCATGGCGACCTCCTTCTCCTGGACATGCCCGTTTTGTTCACCTCTGCTGCTGTTCGGGTGCTCTGCTGAGTTACTTTGCACCTCTGGACCCGCGAGGGGCAGCGTCGGACGGGGCTAGGACGAGGAGGAAGCCGTTCCAGAGCGTTCCGGAACGCTCCCAGAGCGTTCCCGAACGGTTTGAGAAGGCCGCGGCGTCCGAGGCATTTTCCGCAGCCGCCAGATCTCAGAGATTCTCGAGTTATCTTCCCCGGAATGTATCCTCGTCCAGGACGAGGGTGAATTCCTCTTCCAGACGAGTTATCCTCCTCTTCCAGACGCAGGGTCTCGTCCAGGACGAGGATTTCGTCTTCTTCCGCAAGACGAAGGATCTCGCCCAGGACGCGCTATCCTCCTCCTCCAGACGCAGCCAGAGCCTGGCCTCGTCCTACAGCGGGGGGCGGGGCGCCTGCCGAGCGCTCCCCAGCCAGGCCCTCCCGGGCCGAGTGCCTCGAGGCCTCCCGGGTGGTGTCCGAGCAGACGGTGTCGGAGGCTCGCGCCGCATCGCCGATGCATCGAACGCGCGGCGCGATGTGGAGCCCGTGCTTCCCCATGCCGACGCCGCCGATGCATCGGCGAGGCGGCGCGGTGCTTCGACCCCGTCTGCTCGGGCACCCTCCCGGGGGGCCTCCTCGAGCCGCGGGCCGAGCCCCGCCGGGCCGGGAGCGCGGCCTGCGCGCTCGCAGGCGCTGTCCGGCGTCAGCACCGCGCTCGGGCAGAGCAGCGGGACCGCCGCGCGCGCGGCGCGCGCGGGGCGGCGGCGGGGCTCCGAGGGCCGTTCCGGGAGCGTCATCTTGGAGTGCGTTCCAGGAGGGATCTACCGAGCTCCCAGGAGGAGCATTAGCGAGGTTATATCGAAGTGCAAACCCTGGCGAGCGAAAGGCAGAGAACGAGTGGGGAGACCTTCAGGGCTCATCGCGAACGAAAGAACCCCGAACCCTCATTCTGGGAGTCAACGGGCTTCTTCCCGGAAGGACGAGGACAACTTCATTGTAGCAGCCACGGATTTCGCAGCCTTTGCCCGGATTCCGACAGACGGGGTCGGAGCAGATGGGATCGGAGGATCGAGCCGCATCGCTGATGCATCGGCGATGCGGCTCGATGTGGAGCCGATTTCCTCCACGCCGATGGCGCCGATGCATCGCTGACCTGGACGATGAATCGCCGATGCATCGGCGATGCATCGGCGATGCGGCGCGATCCTTCGACCCCATCTACTCAGACCCCATCTATGAGGCCTCTATAATCCAAACGGCACGATGAAGACGTGGCATCACTTAGGTCCCCGTCTTCGCAGGTGGGCAGTAGGGGTAATACATCGTGGCGGTTTGGCCTGATACATCTGCAGAGAAGACACCCTCTCACTAATGTTCCAGGCCCTTCTAACTGAGGTCGTCTACCAAAGGGTTAGGGGTTCTTTTAGCCAAATCAAGGAGGACCCCAGGAGGCCAAACTCATCGATTTGTGTTGGAGGGGTTGCAGGACGGGCTCCAGCTTGCTCGCCTCTTCGTGCCTTTTCTCGCCTTTTCGCGCTTCCAGCGGCCCAAGTCGGCCCCGAACGCCCCGATGTGCCCCTCGCGCCTTCGCGCCGGGCGGCCGCGGACAAGGTTGTGCGCCTGGGAGGCGTGGGTCGGCACGATCGAAATGGGTATACGTAGATAGTGTCAGAGGTGGACAATGGTGCCGACACCTCCGTCCTTTCCTCGCTTCCGCCTTCTCGTGTCTCCCGGGAGGCCCGCGTCGCTACGGTTGGACTGGCCTCGAAGTCCTGGTCAGAAAGCGCCCTGAGAGAGGTCTGGGAAGCAGCGGCAGCGGATCGGTACGACCGAGGCCCAGATGTCCAACCGTGCGCTGTTTCCCATGTCGGGGCGTTTTTTTCTTCGGCGCCGGGCCCCGAGGGCCGTGCCTCCGGGGGAGCGGTCGGGCGGGTGGAGGAAACAGATGTTGGCGGGTATCCGGGGCGGGGGCGTAGAGAACGGGGGGAGCGAGTATCGGCATCAGTTCCTATTCACGTTGGGGAGGGCTCGTTGTGGTTGTCGCCGCGGGCGCTGGCAGTTCGAAGCGGAAGGTCGCCTGCCCGACTCCAGCAGCCGCTGTCGGTTTGGGACAGCGTTTTGTATTGGGCAGGCGTCGGCAGGGGCTGGTATGTTCAGGGGGGATGCGCCCACCCCCAATCGCCCATTCCTCGCCGATATGTCAGGATGCAGCTCCTGGGAGGTTAATTGCAGCATAATCCCGTGCAGTCTTGTTTATCATCCAGATACAACCGATTTAGCCCGGTTTGAACATGGGCCTAGTCCAGCCTGGCCCACATTGTTTCTGTGGATGCAGGCAAGGCCATGCTCCATGTTCCGCCCCGTGCTTCGGGTTGCCAGTGCCTCGTTCCTCTCTTTCCGACCAGTCTGGCGTGTGCTCCCAGCCAAACAGAGATGTTCTCGCATCATGGTTCGTCTTGTTCATGCCGCGGCCAAATCCGCTCTTGGTGATTTCCCTTTCGACGTGTCCAGGGATCCACCCCCCTCATGTATCTCCTCCCCGTTCCTCATAACCTCACATTGCGTCCCACCAATACCGATCGCAACCGAGGGAACGATCTGCCTGCCAGCTCCGATCAGGAGACGAAGGATCTCCCTGTTTCTTCCGTTCCAGCTGTCTTATTTAGCTGCATGGCGATGTGCACAGAAGAAGGGGGGCGCAGCAGGATATCCAGCACGCTCACCGGCGTCACCGTCGCGGCTTCTTTGTTGCCTCCTCTGGTGAACAGGCGCCTGCTCTATCTGCTGTTTCTTGAACCGTTGAAGCATGTGGCATTTGTTTGTCCATGTTTGTCATTGTCGCAGCACGCCCGCTTGTGCTTACAGCTTGCACGAGGGTTGAGTACAAAGCGCAGCTCTGGGGGGGTATCATAAGGTTATTCGCGTTTGGACTCTCCCTTTGAAGCGATCCACGTTTCAGGGTATCTCTTTGGGGCCGTTGATCCCTCGGCGAAGCGGCTAGTGTTCTTGACCCGCGTTCTTGTGGCCATGTCTCGTCTGTGCTGCAAGGGTCATTGTGATGCGGTGGCGAATAGCGTCGAGAAGCAATGCCGGGACGTTGATGGTAAAGGTTGTGCTGGCATGAAGCAAGGCCGCTGCCAGGGTAGTTGCTCTTGGGATCATGATGCTGGCGAGGCGTATCTCATCAGTCTGGACATGTGCAGGGCTCCGACGGTTGCCTGTGCAGTCTTCGCGCTGGGTGGGTCTTCAGTGCTCACTGGAGTCGGCCAGGTGCCACCTGTCAGTATCGTTTATCCGAGCCCTAGCCCCATCCCCATCCACATCTCGGTCCCCACCGTCCCACCACCTCAGTCGGGGATATGCTCCTCGAAACCCGACGTGAGCAGCCCGTATCCCCATCCGGGGAGGGCAGATCGGCCAGTGGGGCCCAGCCCACGCTGGTGGGGATGGGGATCGGTTGGACGGTGCTCACAGGTGCCACCCGGATTCCCGCAGCCACTGACTACGCACCAGCCTCGATTAGCCCCGACGCCCTGCTTTTGGGATGGCCGCTCGGTCTGCACAGGCCTCGGCTGGCTCCGGCTAACCTGAAGGCGGGCACGTCCCTCTACAAGAAGAGTACTCAAAAAAAGTAAGAACATATATTTGGGGGCGATGTTTTGGTTTGAACTACTTGTTTTTTTTTCTTGCCTTTCGCCCAACATCCGCCTGTAGGAGGACATGCCCGACCTAAGGCAAACCCCGCTTCTTTGCCGTGGGGAGTTCCGGCAGGCTCCCAATTACCGGCTGGCTCGCAATTGAGCCTCGATCGCATTGAACATCTGTGTTGTTCTGACATTTGGCTCTGCCTCCGTTCGACACTACACGTCGGTCGCCGAAAGTGGAAAGAATCAGTGCCTCGGTGCCTCCGGTCTTTGCGTCCTTCAAGTCTCGAAGGAATGTTCTCCTCCCTTTCTTTGCGGACTTCGTGCCGAAACCCAGTCTACTTTCGGATCTTTCTTATTTTGTGTTTCTATCGATTATTTCCGACCGACGTGCAACCCAGATCAGCCCCGTTGCCTTGCTACTGGGCTCTTCTTCAGTTCGCCGCCAGCCCCAGTCATAAACCCCCCGACCCCCGCGACGGTGTAGCCGCGCTGCCATGCCGTTGGGATCTCCGTTTACTCTCCGCTCTGAACTAAAGGGGTTTTGGAGCAAACGTACTGACTGATCGACAGACTGACTGACTGACATCAATCCAAATTGGGTTCTCCGATGCGGCTCGATGTGGATCCTGAGTTCCTTCACGCCGACGGCGCCCATGCATCGCCGACGTCGCCAATGCATCGCCGATGCACTGGCAATGCGTCGGCGATACGACGCGAGCCGATGGGGTATCCTGATCTCATCCTCCCTCTTCACCCTACTTCCTTCTTGCCTCATAGGGCTCACCCTCCTTGCGTGGTTTGTTGAATGTGAGATTTTGCGCGTTGCAGTCTCAGAGTCCTGCCTTCAAGAAGGAATCGCCTTGAAGCAGCTCATGACAAGTACGAGGACGGGTCCCGCGGGTACTAGCAACATATCAAACCGGTTTCAGTTCACATAATGGGAAGGCCATGCTTGGCTTCCCTTGCAGCCATCTACATGATAATTCGGATCTTGTGTCGCTTGCTCTTAGCTCCGATGTCTGGTAGCGGGTTGACTCCGACATCGATGTTTGATACTTTTACGCAATCGATAACTGTTCAAACGATATTCGGTGTCTGCATACTTCTTATCTTGGGGAGTCGGTGTGTATCAGCCAGGCTGGCCCTGGGGTGATTCAGACATCAGACGGCATGCTTGCATGTCACAACGCTCCATTTCAGGGTAACTGCGCATGCAGGCGTGCAAGCGTGCGAGCACGTGGGTTTCCGGGCTGGCAGGCGGGTGGGGGTGAAGAGCCGGCGGGCGGTCATGCATGAGCGGGGCGTGGGGTGGTGGGCGTGTTGATGCATGGTCATGTTTTGTGCCATTAGCTGAGTGCGTTCCCTCATTAGCTCCGACTAAAAGCACGTTGCATCTAGACGCGAGCGCATGGCATGTAGACGCAAACAAGTAAGTGCGGCGCGTACGCTCAGCGCTATCCGCTAGGGGTTGCCCTGAACACTTGTATTCTGCAATGCTCACATCATGCAACCACTCAATTCAGACCCCTTGGTTTGGACGACGTTGCATGGTGCTGAGGGAAACTCATGAGTACATATTTGTCTTAGTAATTGCGGTCTCGCTACGCTTGCTACACGGTCGTAAGGAGGCCCGAATAGCCCAGCAGACACGGCTCTCATTCTTCAGGACTCTTTCAATGGGAAGCACCAACCAGTTCACGCGTGAGACTCGAGGCGAGAAGGATCAACACAGAGCAGACAAGCATATCAAGTGCGCAGCATGTAAGGGCATGCTATGGGACCTTTATGGCGGCCTTGAGAGCTGGTCTTGACGGTCCCAAGGATGTTTCCGGCAAGTCTTTGAAATTCAAATCCGAACAAAGGATCGAGACTCTGCAGTTCTGAACTTTGAACAACCGCATCTCGAGGTCGAGCTACGCGGCGAGACTTCTGAACACAGCAACGACAGCGTTGGGTAACACAATTGTGCTTCACAAGATGTCAAGGTTCTAGGTGGCCCAGATGTCCTCAATTCGCTAGGCAGTGGCTGCAGTGTTTTGGTCAGCGCCCTCTTTGCGCCGAGATATTCCAGATTTGCTGGGCCCTGCGAGACGGAAACCCCGCGGTGCGGATCGGCGTTCGCGGATCGGCATTCAAGGACCGGCTCTCGGGGGCGCTGCAACGGCCAATCCATGCAAGAATCCGCACAATGAAGCATTCCAGGTCGCCAAACTGTTGGGTTTCAGCTGGTCTGGGGGAAACCCCGCCCTGAACAACAGTGTGCCGTGGTCGAACCTTCAATTTGTCTGATTCCTTTGCGGACGGGAGGATAAGTGACCTCAGTTCAATGCAGGGAGACTTCTTGTCGAAGGGTGGGAGACCGGAGGTTCTGCAGTAGGCCTCCAAGACCGACATAACACGGCCGAGATCACCATTTACGAGTCACGTCAATCACACAACTTGGCCTTGCGTCAAAGTAGCATCTTTGCGCATGTGCCCTGAACGTAGCCGTCTGGAATGTCATGCTTGTCATAATACATTGTTTGCTGCATGCGGTGACCCTGCATTCGAGATCAGCAGCGCATGCTGCACAGGAGTAACAGTGTGAATCGCATATTCACACTCAGAAATCAGAAACATGATCAAAAGAGCCATGCGATACCAACTACTATTCACAGTAATAAAAACAATTAGGTATGGCTCGTGGTACTAGCTGTCATGTGTGTGACACTGTATATTCGACGGTATGCTTGCGCACTTGAGCGTAGTACGCGCTTGTGTGCTGCAAGCACACCGTGTCTTGGGCGCCATGCTGTCTCATGCGTTCCTTGGCGTCCCATGCGTTCAGTATTGTAAGAATGTGGTTATGGTAGGGTAGCGTATGATGTGGTAAGGTACGGTGCGGTATAGTATGGTGTAGTATGGGGCGGTATGGTGTCATGATCATGATCTGGTATGATAGTCTATAAGTTACTATATCATGACAACGTGGTGATAGGTGTTTGTTCATAATGACAACAAGTAGCGCATCTTATGCTGGATACCGTTCGGCGTACACTGCACACGGTACTTAGTGTGTCACGTCATTGCTAAAGTGCAGGCATGCGTTGCAATTCATATGCGTATGTATATCCATAGCGCCATGCAGTTTGACACCTACAACGTGCAAGCAAGCTCGTGCTTAGGTGCGGATTTCATGTATGTTTGCATGTATCGGTGCGCACGGGCACAAGCGGTTCCATGACTCTTCATTTGTTGCAGCTTCCTCACCTTGCTCCTGCAGAGTGACGATAAATCGTGGCGATTTAATGCACTAGCAGACAACCGATAACTACTAGGTAGTTGGTACGTCACAAATATCTGAAACCGGAGACAAACACGTTTGCATGTGTATGTATACCCAGTATTGATCATGGTTGCCGTTTCAGGTTTTCCCTATCGCTTGCCGAAAGGAGCTCATGCCTTCCGTGCCGCTTGACACAAGGCGGCCAGAGTTAGGGTCTCCCTCGCGCATACCAGCTCTTACCGCTTAGAGGGCACAACTTCAGGCAACCGGCTTTTCCGCAAGCCGGAATTAAACACATTCTTGCAAGTCCACATCAAGAGGGGCGGCCACGCACATCCACCGCCGGAGAAGTACGTTTTGTGTGAGCACGGCTATACTCGAGCGCATATATCGTTTCATCACAACCACCTACCTTTCAGCAAATTACGACACGCCATCTGCACGCGCTGCCTTTCGAACTGGTAGGCGGCGCTTCCAAACAGACCTGTCTCCCCCGCCGCGCTGAGCACGGTCACCTCGGCGAAGAGGTGATGCCCGACGAGTGCTGCGGCGGCGCAAATGCGCGCCGACCATGACTTCAGAGAAGACAGCGCTTGCGATGCTGATGGAAGGCAACGTCGCGCGAACTGAACCATGACATGTAACACCAGCAGTCAAGTTATCACAGATACAGAATTGGTGTATTGTCTCTTTGCCTCTTTCACTATCTCTCTGTAATGTGTAAAGATAATAGATGTATAATGTGTTTTCTATGTACATGTATATATATACATACATGTATATACGTCGGTTTCAAACAACTCTGTTGGTACGCCTCCTAACATCTGCACCAACTGCTTCGGCGGACCTTCCGCCACGCTTCCGCGAGCTTCCGCGCGCTTTCGCCGAAACCGTCTTGCTTCCGCAGACCTTCCGCAACGCTTCCGCCGAGCTTCCGTGGATCTGTTTTCGCGGCGTAGATGGTAATGTTTGTTTAAAGCCTTCATCGGGGGTTCTTTGAACACGACATGTGTATGTATGTAGATGTATATGTATATATAATACACATATGTATAGACATATACACTACATATATACACACATGCGGCAAACAATTGTGTTGGTACACCTGCGAACATCTAAGCTAAAGGGACATATTACGCAAACTTTCCCTGAACCTTCTGCGAGCATTGAGCTACACTACATTACACTACGTTGCCTTGCTCATGTCTCATCACATCGCGTCACGGCACGGCACATACATGGATACATAAAACATACACATGTGTGATGAGTGACGTGGCGCAAATTCATGGACTGACCTGCACAAGCACATTCGTAGGTATACCGACATGCCTTTCAAACATAACACCCCAACGCGCCTGTGTCACCCTTCTTAGACACCTCAGTATTCCACGGCAACCTTCCCTAATCAAACCCGTCTGGCCCCGGGCATCCCTATACTTTACCCAGCTTCCCCAGTTTGTCCTTCAACAAAGCAAAGTCAACCCATACTTTGATTTGGTCATTGGTGGTTGTGCTGTTGGTGAAGCGCAGGCATGCATGCTAACCATTTCCTTTTTGTTGACACTGTTGCCTCCAGGGGGCCGTGGGGGCAACAGCAAGGTTCGAGGCAGGACAAAGCGATACCGATAATGTGTGTTCACTGAAATACACCTCACGCCTACGTCCATAGCGGGACATGATATACTTTGAACATGCGGAAAGCTTGCGGCCAGATCCGATGAACGAGAGCGTTAGTCCTGACTCGCTGACACAGCAAGTTAGCGAACGATCCGCGGCTCCCTCAAACATTGACTCCCTCTGTTGCAGGGGAGCTAAGGCGGTCCCAAGCAGGGAGCCTCACAAGAACCTACTTCGAGGATCGGTCAACGTGAGGATGTCGAAAGGTCAACAGTCGAGACCAACACGAGATGAAACTGTTGATTCACAGCCTTGATTCCTTGGGACCCCCTCAGTCGCCTCGAGAACGATCTTGTGGTCTTGGTGGCTCGGAGGTCTTCGGCAACCAAAGCCAAGGCATCGATTCGCGGGGTCTCCTCGGCGGCCGCATGCTTGGGTCCAGGCGGCAATAAAAAACGCTTCTGCCAGCAAGGGGCGCCGGCGCCAGCGACGGTTGTATTCGAAGAGTCTCGTGCCCCAAGCGCAGGCTCATTTGACTCACGCCGTGGGATGAAGAGCGCGTCTTTTCTTCATGTAACGCGGCGGCGCATTGGAGCGCGGCGTGGAGACTTGAAGCTGTTGGTTGTATTGCGCGTGGCCAGTCAAGCGTTCTTCGGCCTTGCGAAAGAAAGCAGTTAAATCATTAGAGTGTGCTTTGGGTTGGGGGAACTGCTTCGTACTGTAACCCGGATAGTCGCGTACAGTATTTCGTTTATGCGAATTTCTTTGTTAGTGTGTTTAGCTTCAGTTGATGCTTGCATCGCCGGCTTTGATTACGCCGTTCAAGATTATTTGTTGATTTGGTTGCCGACTCATATTCAGCAGCAAAATATCGGCACCGGCTGCAAGCTACCAGGGTGGCGTTGCCTTGAGCGTCGCTTACTTCGTTGTGGGGTTAGCGCTGAAGTCAGGGCAGGGAGGTAGGTCTTGGTCGGCCAGCGCAAGGCATACGCCAGGTACGTACGTAGGCCAGACCGGGCCATGACTTTGCCCATGTGTGTCAATACGTATGCTCCTGCGCAAAATGCAGGGCAGGGCGCCGCCAAATTCATAACCAGAGGGCTGGGAAGCGGGTCAAAAATTGGGCCCGTTTTTTGGGCGCGTTTTCGGGCCCATACAGCGGGGAATCCCATTCCATGAAAATGTTTGGTTCATCTCGTTCGCCATTGGAAAGCCTTGGATACCTTGCCGCCTTGACCAGCTCGCACACGCCCCGCGGCGCTGTCTGTGTTTCCGTTCGTTGGGCCACTGTTTTGTCATGTCTCGGTTTGTTTCTAGATGTTCCCATTCGTTACATGTTGCTCTCACATGGCTCCAAGTACGCCTGCCTCCATCTGCTCTTATCCGCCTCCGCACGAGCGACGGACAAAAAATTGGGGTCGACTGTGCGGGCATTCGCGCGTAAGTCTCTGCGTGAGGTCGCACGTCAGTGCCCTCTTCTCCACGCGGTGTGCCACGCTGGCGGCCCGCGTAAGCCGCGACGTAATTGCTGTACCCTCTCGCGCAAGACATAATTGTTTTTGTTTTTCACATGTTTGTAAATAAGTTGATAGGCTACCCTCCTCTTCCTGGTCCCTCCTCCACCTCATCCTTTCGTTCCTCGTTTACGTATCATTATCCGCGTCGTTTTCTTGTTTCGGATGAGGCTCTTTTTCATGTTCTTGCTTATCAGTATGCTCTCCTCTGCTACCTCGTTGTCTTCCTTCCCTCTTTTCACCCCTTCTCGTCGTCGTCGGTCGTCCTACTCCTCCCACTGCCTCCCTCCTCGTCTTCTCCCTTCCTTCACGTCGCATCTTCGTCTTTCCTCCTTGGGGCCCTCCAGAACCGCCCAGAACCCCTGACTTCCCCCACAGCCCTCCGTCACAGCCCGAAACATCATCGAACGAAACTCTAGACTTACGTCGGGCATGTCCCTCTGCAGGAGGATGTTTCAAGAATGGTACAACATAGCCAATGGACGTTTTTTAAACAAAATGTATCGAATAGTTTGAAGTTTGAATATGTTTCGACTCCTTCATTTTTCTTCACAAATCCGCCTGTAGGAGGACATGCCCGACCTAACTCTGGACCCCCTGCCCCTCCTCGGCCTCCGCCTCCGTTCCCACCGCGGGGCACCAGCGGAGGGCCGGCGCAGAGGGCGGTGGGACTGCAGCGGCGAGGGCTCGAGGGGGGACTCCCCCGCCGCGCCGCCGCGCCAGTGGGCTCTGCACCGTCTTCGGCCTCGTGTACCCAGGCATGAGGACCAAGGACGGAGCACGGCAAGGAGGAAGGCAAGGAGCAGGAGCAGGATCGGGAGGAGGACGGCAGGGTATATGAGGAGGACGACGATGACGATGCCGTGGACGGGGAGGAGGAGGAGGAGGAGGAGGAGGAGGAGGAGGAGGAGGAGGAGGAGGTGGAGGAGAAGGAGGAGGAGGAGGTGGAGGAGGAGGAAAGGGACGAGCAGGAGGAAAGGAGAAGCAGGAGGATAGGGAGAATGCGGATGAGGCGGAAGGGGAGGTGAAGTTGGCGGGGGAGGTGGGAGCAGTGGAGGAGGAGGAGGAGGAGGAGGAGAAGGAGGAGAAGGAGCAGGAACAAAAAGGAGGAAGAGGAGGAGGAGGAGCAGGAAAAAGAAATAGGAAGATGACGGGAAGGAGGGGGATGAGTGGGATATGCGTGAGTTGTTTGGATGATGCGGAGGGTGGGAAGGGGAGGAGGAGGAGGAGGAGGAGGAGGAGGAGGAGGAGCATTTGGACAGCAGCAGGATGATGATGATGATGAGGAGGAGGAGGAGGAATAGGATGCGGAATATTTGGTGGCCTACGGCCCATCCCGCCATCGTGTCTTAGCTGCGGTTAAGGGACCTCTTGGATGTATATGAGGATATCTTGGCATGCCTCTTGCGGGGCTCTTGGAGGGCTCTTCGGGGCTTCTCGGGGGCCTCTTTAGCGCCTCTTGGGGCCTCCTGAGAGCCTCTTGGGGGCCTCTTCGGGGCGCCTCGGGGGCCTTTGGTGGGCTCGTGAGGCCATCTTGGGCGGAAGCCTCGAACTGTCAGTTCGTGTTTCCCCTCCCCGGTGCCTTTTGGGCGATCTTGGGCACCTCTGGCGCCGTCTTGGGGCCCTCATGGGCCGTCTTTGGGGCCTCTTGGCAGCCCCATTGGGCCTTCATGTTGGGGGCCTTTCGGGCAGCCTTGGGACGTCGGAAGCCAGAAAAACGAGACCGCGGCAAGCATCGTACAACCATAGGGCCATCAAGGATTTTGGCTTCTTGGGTTCCCGCTCGGGGTCCTTTCGGAGCGCTGGAGGAGGAGGAACAATATGACAAAGTCATAGTCATACGAGATGATTCAAAGGAGGTAGATAATATGTATGTTGAGAATGAGGATGGAGACGGTGCACACGAACAGAGAGACTGTGAAGGGGGCCGCATCAAATAATGATGATGGCGACGACGGTGACGATAAGTTTAAGCATGACGATGAAGGTAATACTGTGGAGCGGAAGAGCTGCACGAGCAGGGAGAACAGGAGGGCCGTGATCTGCCAGGACGACCACACGCTGCACAGCATCGCCCTCGTCTCCTTTTTTATGTGCCCCACGAAGTATGCTTGAGACTCGGTGCGCAACGCAGCACCAGAAGGGGAGTCTGAGGATGAGGAGAGCGGGGTACGAGATCAATACGTAGGAGGACAGGTGGGAAACAGGGGAAGTGGAACTATCAACCTTGGAGGTGTTGGACCCTCTAGGCTTCCCTCACCGGGCTCCCTGGGCTCTGTGTTGCCAACTTTCTGCTCGTTTGGGGACATTGGCGCATGCCCGAAAGACAGCACGCACAGGCTTACTCTGTTTATCCGTTCTCTCCCCCTCCTCCCCTTCGCCGTCCCTTCTCTTTCATGCCTCCCTCCCATCTCCTCCCTCCCTCCCTTCCCCATCCCTTCCTCATTCTACAGATCAGTAACATGAACACTACTCACCTCTCTCCTCTCACTCCGTCAGGAAGATATTCGTCCCTCTCCTCGTGCTGTTCTTGTACAGGATTTCAACAGAGATCTGATCTTGTTTTACAATCCGATTGTTTTCGGTGCCTCAAAGCGATGCTCCCGCTGGAGCGTGAGCCTCATTTTCGGATCGGCGCTCTGACCCCGTCGTTCAGAAGGGCGCTCTCGCCCCAGCGCGGGCCATTTTTCTGAATCCGAGTCTCTCTTCATCGTTCTCGCCCCCCTCACTTCCCCTCCTCTGCCTTCCCCTAGTCTTCCTATTCCTCCCGCTCCTTCCACTTCAGTTCTTGTTGCTGCTGTTCGTCCTTGTCCCTTTCCTCCCGCTTTCCTCCTGCTCAGCCGCCACCTCTCTCCTCCTGCGCACGCAGCTCACCATTTCAGACTGCGCATAACACGATGTGCTCTTTTTGTCCCACAATGAAAAAATAGTTCCAGTCGAGGGACGGGCTAGCAGAAACATCCTCAAGAACAGTTGATGGTCCGGGCCGTTTCGCCTGAGACATCCTCGCTCCGAGCTGCCGCGCGAGAGGCGGTTTGGCGTGTCTCGCTTGAAATCTATTCCCAGCTCTGCGCCGCGCGCGAAGCGGGTCGGTCCGTTTCGCTTGAGACATCCTCGCAGCTCCGAGTTCCGAGACGACGCGCGCGAGATATTTCGGCGCGTTTCGCTTGAGATGTCCTCGCAATTCTGGGCTCCGAGCCGTTGCGCGAGAGGTGGGTCGGCGCGTCTCGCCTGAGACATCCTCTCAGCTCTGAGCTCCGAGCTGCCGCGCGCGAGGTGGTCTGACCCGTTTCGCCTGAGACATTCTCGCGACTCTGAGTTCCCAGCTGCCGCGCGCGAGGTGGTCTGGCGCGTTTCCCCTGAGACATTCTCGCGACTCTGAGTTCCCAGCTGCCGCGCGCGAGGTGGTCCGGCGCCTTCCGCCTGAGACATCACAAAGGCTTTTAGCTCGGAGATGTTGCGCGGCCCGAATTTATGAGCTCCGAGCTGCCGCGCGCCAGGTGGTCTGTGCGTTTCGCCCGTATGATTTTTGGTTCCGAGCTGCCGCGCGCCAGGTGGTCTGGCCCGTTGCGCTTGAGACATCTTGGGGTGTCTAGGCTCCGAGGTGCCGCGCGCGAGGTGCTTCAGCCCGTTTCGCTCAAGATATCTTTGCAATTCTTTACGCTTCGCGTATCCCCACCAGCCCATCTCACAACAGCAACTCTTTCGAAGCATGCCGACAGTCGTGTTTTTCAGGCTTGTGTCCGCTTGGCCCCGCATGTCTCCCCTGTTCCTCCTTCCTCCCGCCTCCTTGTACATCCTCCTTGTGGGGGGAGCGGGAGAAGGACGAGGCGGAGGAGGAGGGAGAGAAAGCGCTCCTCGTGGTTTGAGTCGTTTGGGGTTTCTCGTCCTGGTGTGAGTCGTTCGGGCCCTTCTTCCTGGTGTGAATCGTTCGGGCTCTTCGTGATGTGAGTCGTTCGGGCTCTTCGTCCTGGTGTGAGTCGTTCGGGCTTCTCGTGGTGTGAGTTGTTCGGGCCCCTCGTCGTCGTGTGAGTCGTTCGGGCCCCTCCTCCTGGTGTGACTCGTTCGGGCTCCTCGTGGTGTGAGTCGTTCGGGGCCCTCGTCGTGGTGTGAGTCGTTTTGGGAGCCTCTTGGAGGCCTTTTGGGGCGTCTTCGGGGCCTCTTGGCGGCCCCAGGGGCTTCTAGGAGCGTCTTGGGTGCCTTGGGGGAGCCTCTTCGGGCCTCTTGGGAGCCTCTTGGAGGCCGTTTGGGGCGTCTTGGGGGCCTCTTGGCGGCTCCAGGGGCTTCCAGGAGCGTCTTGGGTGCCTCGGGGGAGCCTCTTGGGGCCTCTTGGGCGCCTCTTGGGGGCATCTTGGGGGCCTCTTGGAGGCCTCTTGGGGCCTCTTGGGACTCTCTGGGAGGGGTCTGGGAGGAATCTTGGGGCCATCTGTCGGGCGATCGATCACAGATGGGGCGAGCACTTTTCTGCCTCCCCCCGTCGGGGCCAGAATCCTCGTGAGGGGTGTCGAATTTTAGCACTCCCAGGAGTCGAAAAAGACCCCTCCAACGACCCGCGGGGCGCCCTCTCCAGGCCCAGGGGGAGGGGGTAGGGGGAGGGGTAAACCCCTCCCCGAAGGGGAAGAAGGGGGGTTGAGAACAGAGCGGGCTCTCTAAACCACTCACGCCCAAAGGGCTGGTGGGATTCTGGGCACCGATATGCCGCGCGAGAGGTGGTCTGGCCCGTTTCGCTTTACACATCCTCACAATTCTGGGCTACAAGATGCCGCGCGCGAAGCGGTCCAGCCCGTTTCGCCCGAGACATCCCTTCGACCCTGAGCTTCGAGGTGCCGCGCGCGAGATGGCCCAGCACGCTTCGTAAAGGACCCCTCTGTACTTTTGGGCACCGAGATGCCGCGTGAGTGGTGGTCCGGCGCGTCTCGCCTGAGGCATCCTCACAGTTATGTATGAGCTCGGAGATGCTGCGTGACAGGTGGACTGGCTCGTTTCGCCTGGGACATTCTCGCACCCCTGAGGTCCGAGGCGTTGCGCGAGAGGCGGGTCGGCGCGTCTCGGCCGAGGCATGCTCGCAACTCTGGGCTCCGAGCTGCTGCGCGAGAGGTGGTCCAGCCCGTTTCGCTCGAGACGTCCTGCCGACTGAGCTCTGAGGTGCCCCGCGAGAAATGACTTGGCCCGTTTCGCCTGTGACATCCTCGCAATTCTTGGCTTCGAGCTGCCGCGCGAGAGGTGGTCCGACCCGTTTCGCTTCGAGACGCCGCGCGCGAAGTGGTCCAGCCCGTTTCGCTCGAGACATCCTTTCAACTCTGAGCTCCGAGATGCCGCACGCGAGGTGGTCCAGCCCGTTTCGCATGAGACGTTTTCAAAACTCTTGGTTCCGTGCTGCCGCGCGCGAGGTGGTCTGGCCTGTTTGGCCTGAGACATCCTCGAAACTCTGAGCTCCGACATGCCGCGAGCGAGGTGGGTCAGTCCGTTTCGCTTGAGACATCCTCGACGTCGAACCATTTGGTAACATTTCTGTTGTTGAGTTTTGCTCCAGGAGGAGCCTGGGCGCCGCCTGACATCCTCGCAACTCTAAGCTCCGAGTGCGAGGTGGTCAGGCCCGTTTCGCCTGAGGCATCCTCGCAACTCTGAGTTCCGATATGCCGCGCGCAAAATGGTCCAGCCCATTGGTTCATCCCTCCTCCCGCCTGCCTTCCCCTGCCTCCCACCTGCCTTCTCCCTCGCCTCCCGCCTGCTGCGCCTCTGCATCCACATCCACGTCGCCGTCTATGTCATTTCGGCCGCCTCAGCATCCGCCATGCGCACCCGGCCTTCCACCCTTTCCAGGCGCTCGACGTCACGACTCATGTTTCGAGATTCGGCCCCGCGGACCTCTCCATATCATCCCAGGGTCCCAGGGATGATTCAAGTGGTGTGCACCATTCCGCCGACTCCCAGAAGGAGTCAGAGCTTGCGACGATCGTGAAAGTTATCGAAGACGCCTACGGCGAATCACCGCCGCACCCTGCCTTTTTGGAAAGCGTCTCTGTGGCCAAACCTTCGGGTCCAGAGCTTGGACAAGTTATCGGACCAGGTGTTCCCGAGCCGCTGTGGAAACCTTTTGGGAAACACTTGGAGGAGCATGAGGCGGAGAATCAGGAGAGGGAGGAAAATCAGGAAGGAGGAGGGGGAGAAGGAGGCATCTTGGGAGCCACGGGGAGCACTCTTGGGGCCTCCTGGAAGCTTCCTGGGAGCCTCTTGGAGGCATCTTGACGGCCTCCCTGGGCATCTTGGGAGCCTTTTGGTGCTTTTTGGGGACCTCTTTGGCCGTCTTAGGGCACTTATGGCCCGCTTGGTGTTGTCGGAAGCCGTCTTTGGGGCCTCTTTGGGTCGACTTGGGGCCCTCTTGGGGTGCTCCAGGGCCGTCTTGGAGGTCTTCTCGGGCGTCTTGGAAGCCTCGGGCCGTCGTGGCGCCCTCTTGCCGCCTTGGGGGCCTGTTGGGCCGTTCTGGGGCCATCTTGGAGGCCGGAAGGGCTATCTTGGGGCGACATTTGGGGCTTCCTGGGCCGTCGGAAGGCCGAACACAAAGCAAATGCCCCAATCCGTGAAAAACCTACGGAGAAGCAATGGTCTTGGCCTCTTCGGGCTTTCCTGGAAGACCTCCTGGAGGCCTCTTGGCCCGTTCTGGAGGCCTCTTGGGGACCTCTTGGGCCGTCTTGGCCCGTCTTGGAGGCTTCTTGGGCGGACGTGGAGGTATCTTGGAGCCTCTCGGGCCGCCTTGGAGGCCATCATGAGGCCATCGATTTCAGCATCGCCATTCTTCGAGGATGTCTCGTGCGCAACGTTCATTCTTACCGTAAGGCGTCTTGGGCCAGGATCCCAAAGATCGCGATTTGCTTCGGGCGTCGTGGACGCCCGAAGCTGCAGTGGGCGGCGTGCGTTTTCCCATGCGCATCCTGGTAATGTCTGCACTTTTCGTATTTTTTCGTATGTGTAGTTACTGCCTATGCGCCGTTTGGGCGCCTGGCTGCCTTGCTTGCTTGTCCCTAGCGAAGCACGACCGTTTTGGGCGACGTTGGTGGCGCAGCGGGCGAGCCATTCTGGGTGGCCGGCGCGCCGGGCCGGAGCCCCAGGAGGAGTTCGTTGTAACCTGATAATGACACGAACCCCGACCTTGAACGACAAGTGGTCGTGGCTTGCGAGGAAGAGAAAAACAAAGAAGAGGATGTCTGAACGGCGCATAATGCTGATTCCAATGTTGTCCGTTTGACGCTGCGCCGCTTTAAGGCGCATCATGCTGGTTCCCGTGTTGTCCGTTTGACGCTGTGCCGGAGCCCGAGGAGGAGTTCGTTTAAAAAAGAACCAGACCCAAACCAGTAGGTTTCAGCACGCCAGGCCCTCCTGTGGCAAGATCACAGGGGGCGGCGGTTCGAAGACGCCTGCGGAGAATCACCGCCGCCCCCTGTCTTCTAGAATCGCTCATGTGGCCGAGCTTTGTGGCAAGAGCTCTGCCAAGCTATCGGACCCTGTGTTCCCCCAACCGTTGTGGAAACCCTTCTTGGAACACTTGGAGGAGAGGAGGAGGAGGTGGAGGAAGAGGAAGAGGAGGAGGAGGAGCAGGAGGAGGAGGGGGCATCCTGGGAGCTGCTGGGGGCACTCTTGGGGCCTCCTGATAGCTTCCTGGGAGCCTCTTGTAGGCCCCTTGGGCCGTCGTCGTCGTCGTCGTCGCAGAGCCGCGTGCCGTTTTGCCGCTCCCCGAGAAGACGCGAAGTGGGCTGGCAGTGACCATCCAACGTCTTCATCGGTGCTAGAAGTACCCTTGGCCCAAGGTGCCCTCAGGATTCTCGAAGCGGCCCAGGCGGCCTCCAGGCCACCCCTCACGAGGCCCCGAGGGCCCCAGGGTCTCCAAAATAGAGCTACAAGCTGGGGGCGCCTTGGGCCAGGGGCACTTCTAGCAGCATGCGACTGGAACTCTCTAACCACGTGGCCCCAGACCGGACCACGCTGGGGGGTACAATCTCCGACTCCCAAACCCCCTCGGGCCATGCAGAAATCAGGCTGGGAGGCTTCTCCCCACCTTCGGTCCGTGGGGGACCTCCGTGCCAGGAGCCGGGGCCGTCGCAACGACGGCAACTCTTTATCCGCCGTCTCTGTGCGTCCGCCGCCGGATCGCTGCCGCGGCCAATATTGCATTTGTCGGACTGTAGTTGCGTGCTTGTTCGAGCAGGCACCGCTTGCCTGCAGTGGCACTGGAACAGGGGTGCGCGTGCTGCGTCGTCGCCGCATCGTCGTCTCCCTTCTTTTGCGTCTATTATATACATTGCAGCTTAATGGGCGCATCTGCCATGTCGGTGCGCGGTTTTCAGACAATTGAGGAGACTAGTTTTATACCACTATCATACCCTACTTCTGGCGGGGGACAGCGTTTTCCTAGCAACTAGCAATTCCTGCTTCATGATGTTTGTTCTTCATTTTTTCCCGACGGACGGGTGCGCACCCCAGCGGTTCATCGCGACGCGCAGACGATGTGAATTTGAGGCGTTCTGTTAGCGAGCGCGACGGACGGCAGGTACTTCGTAACGGTCGTCTTTGTGATGGTGTTCTGCTACCTGACGTTCAAGGACGCCGTCCCGCTTGCGCGTTCATGCTCGGATGTTCTTATCAACGTTGGTCGCGCCCAGTCGATGCCCTTCGGATTGGCGGTCGGCATCGACGGCGTCGTTGGCGCTCCCGCGCGTTCGTGTCAGCCGCCGTCGAGCGCGGCGTCTTCGAATGCCACGTTGACGCTTTTTTGGCACTCGATCATGCACGCATGACGTCCTGGAGCAGGAGTAATGATGACGCTGACGATGACGGGCACGGAGGGGATGACGGAGTAGGGACCAAGTGAAAGATAAAAAGGATGGCGTGAGGGGTTAGTAGGCGTGTGTGGGGTTGTGTCATGGACTGAGGGAAGGCAGGACGTGGGGATGATGGCGAGAAAAATGGCCGTGGAGTTTGAGGGATGGGCCGGTGGAGGACGTAAGATGCGGGGGATTGAAGGATGAACGAAGGTGGATGGATAAGGGAGTGGACCAGGGGGTCGAAAAGGTTTTGCGTTCCCCAATTTCCCCCAGCGAATTCCCAGCAAACTCCGATGGTTTTCCTTGTGCCCACCCACCTTGCGGCCAGCGCGCCTCGTGGGGAATCATTCCATCATATTTTTCAACACCCGCCCTCCCTTCGCGGGGCCACAAAATTGCGGAATGCTCTTAATCATTGGTCAGCGGCATTCGTTCCTACATTCACATTCCTTCCGCGGATCAGCAAACATGCGGAATGCGAGTTGCGCTGAGCATCATATGTCCGCGCCCACATACTCGCCTCATGGCCCCCTCCCATGCAGCCAGCATCCGCAGTTTCGTGGGTGGGTCGTCGTCGTCGCCGCCGTCGTCGTTGGCGTCGTTATGGTCCTTCGCCGCCGTCGTCGTCGCCCAGCCTTGCGCGCCCCCCCATGGGGCGTCCGCAATTCGTCGTTCGTCGTCTTCGTCGTCGTCGTCGTCTCTCTCTCTCTCTCTCCTCTGTGTGGCCTCTTTTATGGGGTTGGTGGATTCAGCGCCTGGTTCCCATCATTTCAAATTTACAAGTGGTTTTTCTCACACGGTCTAGGGTGTGTCACGTGTCAGTCGATGCTTCTTTCCAAGCTGAATCATTCCTTCTGGTGAAGATGCATCGGGGAAGCTGCTGATGTACGACGTGGCCCACCCTGGGGGCCGCCGCGGACTTCGGGGAAGCCGTTGGACCTTTCAACCATTCGGTACTTTTGGTGAACCCACCCTTGGCCGACATGGCGTGGGGAAGAGTTAATTTGGGCACTCTATTAGTTAACCGTCCTGGGCAGCGGAGTTGGGGAAGGGTCCTACCAGTCCTAACATGTCTCGTAATTGGGTTGCATGTATAATCCGAACCCTTCTTTAGATCCCACGTTTGCCGGGAATGGGGGTGGTACGTTATCTCGACCCCCTGATGGTAGTGGGATAGGAATGGTTGGGCTTGCGAAGGGAGGGGAGGGATGAGTCATCCGGCGGAGAGGGTGAGTGTATGAGGGGGGAGATGCGCAGGCGGAATGGAGCAGGACGGGTGTAGGCAGTGGGGAGGAGAGATTTGGAGGTGGGAAGAAAGAGATGGCTGAGCGGGGACGATTATGATGATGCCGATGATGATGATGCTGATAATGGTGATGATGATGCTGATGATGATAGTGATGATGATGGTGATGGTGATTGTGATTGTGATTGTGATGATGATGATGCTGATGCTGATGACGATGATGATGATGATGCTGCTGCTGATGATGATGATCATGATCATGGTCATGATCATGCTGATGCTGCTGATGATGACGACGATCATGAAGATACTGATGGTGATGCTGATGACGACGACGACGACGATGATGATGATGATGATAGTGATGTTGATGATATTGATGATGATGATGATGATGATGATGATGATGATGATGGTGATGATGGTGACGATGGTGACGACGGTGGTGATGATGAGGATGATGATGCTGATGATGCTGATGATGGTGATTATGGTGATGATGATGGTGATGGTGGTGATGATGATGATAATGATGGTGATGCTGACGACGACGGCGACGACGATGATGAAGATGTTGATGATCATGGTGATGATGATGATGCTGCTGATGATGATGATGATGATGATGATGATGAGAATGATGCTGCGGAGAAGGAGGAGGGGGAGGAGGAGCAGGAGGAGAAGGAGGAGGAGGAGGATGATAGTGGCGGTGGTGCTGGTGATGGCGATGGCGATGGTGATAGTGATACCGGTTGTGATGGGGGTGATGATGATGATAATGATGTTGATGATGGTGATAGGGGACGGTCATGGTGATGATGCTAGTGATCATGATGGTGATGGTGGTGGTGAGGGTGGGGATCTGGGGATATGGGTATATGGAGATAGAGGGTGGGGGGTGGAGGGTGGAGGGTGGAGCGACGGATGCGAGTGAGTGATGAATGGGGTGGGGGGAGGGGGAGGAGGGAGGTGGGGCGAGACGGTGGAGGAGGGGATGGAGGAGGAATGGACCAAGGCGGATGGAGGGAAGAAACGGAGAAGGGAATATTAAGTACATATACAACGAGCATGCGAGGTATATGTATGAGACTGAGGGATGTGGGAGGAGGGAGAAGGGAAGCGGGGATGGTAGAGCAGGAGACGAAGGACGCAGGGCGTAGAGGAAGGGAGAGAAAGAGCATTACGTAAGGGGAGGATTGGAAATAGGAGGAGCAGGATGAGGGAGGAGGGATGTAGGAGGGATGTGGGAGGAGGTAAGACGTGGAAGATGAGGAGCTCGACAAGGCAGAGGGGAGGCGGAGGAGGAAGCTGAAACCGACTACACATGCATGAGGGATGGTGGCCATTCGGCGGAGGAGGAGGAGGGCACGGCAGGGAGTTTAAGCATGATGAGGAAATTGAACAGGAACAGAAAACGGCTGGCGAAACAAAAGAAAAAAAAAGAAGCGGATGGACAGGAATGATGAGGATGAGTTGGAGAGTGGATATGGAGAGGAGGAGCAGCGTAGGAATAACGGAACACGAGGGGGGAGCATGCACATTTGGGGATGAGGACAAGGAGGATCAGGAGGACTCACGTAGGAGGGGGGAGTATCAGAAAGAGGAGTAGACGGAGCGTATCGGAGACATCGACGAAGGATTTGAGGAACAGTAGGAGGAGGATGGGGATGAGGACGGGATAATGAGGAAGAAGACAAGCGAGAAGCACGTGCTTCGCATCCCCTCTCGGTTTTTCTCCCGTGCCACCCCCTCGCCCTCCGCCTCCGCCTCCGCTGCCCCAGACCAGGACAAGCTTCATCCGCCCTTCCCCTCCCACTGCCCCCCCCCTGGCTCTCTCCCTCCCCCTCCCCCCTCCCTTTCCCATATTGTGCCCCCTTCCCGTCCCCTACCTCTCTTTTCCCCTGTCCAACATCCCTTCCCTGCCCCCCCTCTCCCCTCCACTCGGCGGCGAGCGAGGGGGAGAAGTGAGATGGAGGAGGCCTTCTCAGAAGGCGGCGGGACTTCTCAGAAGCCCTCGCGCCCTCTGAGAAGTTTTCAGTGCCTTCGGGGAAGGCTTATAACACTTCGTAAAGGCCAGGGGACTTCCGAGCCTTCTGAGAAGGCCTCCTCCTTCTCCTCTCCCTCCTTCTCCCGCTATGAAGCACTGGTGAAAGGAACCGGGAACTGGGAACCAGGAACAGGAAACCGGGAGCTGGGAACCGGGAGCCGGGAGCCAGGAACCTTGATCCAGGAACCGGGAACCGGGATCCGGGAACCACGAACCCGGAATCGGGAACCAGGAACCAGGATCCGGGAATTGGGAACCGGGAGCCGGGAATTGAGAACCGGTAAGCCGCGGACCGGGAACCGGGAACCGGGAGCCGGGAACATTCGGTTAACCGGGAACCAGGAACGTAGGATTTGGAACATGTGTTGGGGAAGTGGGAAACCGGGGGAGGGAGAACGAAGGAGAGTGATATACATATTTATATATACATCTACCTATATATATATGTACAAGATTGCATTGGCGCTTCGCGCCATGCACCCTGGTCTTTGAAGTTTGGTATGCAGGCCGAATGGCAGGACGGTCAAGCCGACAGCTTAGCGATAACTCCGTGTTGCCTTTAACGGCATCGCCGTTATACTAACCCGGAGAGGCGATTAAGAACCCCCCCTTCTCCGGCGAAAGTATAACGCTCCAGCACCTTGCAAGCAGTACTCTGGCACCTCGCAACCTGCTTTGAACGCAGACGAGTCTGCTCGCCGAAACAAGGAAACCGCCTGAAACATTCTCGTAATCTGGCCGCCGTGTGGTTCTGAAACAAGCGCCTCGCCTGAGACATCCTCAGAAATTGCTCTGAACGCAGACGAGTCTGCTGTGGGGGAGTCCTATCGGGGGGTCCAATGGGGGATTCATATAGGAATATCTAGGAATCCAACATATTCTCCTTTGGATACCGCCCGAGCCAAGGCGCGGGAATTGTTTAGTTTCCTTTCTTTTGCGCGGTGCTAAAGATATCGTTCCGCGGAAACCGCCCTAAATGATTATTTAATTACGGTGCGATGCTAACGATAAACCCCGGGGGGGTTCTTAATTGCTTACTGCGGTTCATGTTATTATTTCTCTTTCCTCCATGTTTCTTTTTCCTCATTCTCGCCATCCCCTGCGCACTCTCCCCGTCCTCCTCAGCTTTTTTCCGGGGTCTCCTCCTTGGAGAGCCCCTGGGGGCCTCGCAAAAGTTTTTCAGGCTTTCTTAAGGCTTTCTGGAATCTTCCTGGGCGTCTTCTGGGGGCCTCTGAGGGCTTCCTTGGGCCAACCTGCCTCCAACCGCGGTCTCCCTGAACGACCGGGTCACGATTTGGAATGCTTCGGAGGCTCTCTTGGGGCCATTTTGGGCCGCCATGGGACTCTTAGGGCCATCTTGGACCCCTCTTGTGCCGATTTGGAGCTTTTTTTGACTGCCTGGAAGCCCTTTTCGGATGGTTGTGGGGCGATTTTGGAGCCTCCCAGGCGGCTTCGGACGCCCAGAAGACCGCCGTCATGGAGCTT